ATGGCAAGAGACTAGGGCGCAGCCATGCTGTGGATTTTACTAGGTTTTTTAGACTATAAGTGTGTTGTTAGAGTTCGTGGTGTAAAATTCGGCTCCCATTTAAAGCAGAACTTACAAATACACACAAGGGGGTTACGTCACAGGCATCAGGAAAATATGTTTCACCAGTTAAATGGAGAAGTAAATAAACAGCCAAACACTCAAATATGAAATTATGTTGACCTTTTGCAACCATGATTTATTACAAAAAAACACGAACTAAGAAAATAATAATAGTTATCCTGATAAATAAATCAGTAACCAAAACTCTCTCAAAATAAGTTTAGCATAGGTTTAATCTACTTAGTTCATGTTAGTAAAGAAACCCAAATGGTTAAATGTCCAAATATATGAATATTGTCCACAAACGAGTTCCATATCATGGGAGAATTTCTCCTTTTTAATCCAAAGTTTCAAGCGTCAAAAACCTCCCCCCAAAAAATGAGAAAAAGGAGTGGTACCACCAAAAATCCCCAAAAAGAAACGTAAAGTCCAGATCTCACCGGGAATGTCTTTCTCTCCCCCCCCCCCAGTGGCGTCCTCTCGCTCTGTCGGCGTCCTCTAGCCAATTGGCGTCCTCCTGCACCTGGCGGCGTTTCCTGTGCACAAGCTCCAATCCAGCTCCTAAAGCGCACGATCCGCGGCGCTGGGGCGAACTTTCATTTTCCGTTTTACCTCCTTTCTTTGATTTATTTGTTCTAAACGTTCAATTAATTCAAGTCTCCCGCTGCACGGATCTGACGGTGAGCGTCTTCCACTCTGATTGCGCCGCGGCGCGCCGACGCACACGCCCCTTTTTATACACTAAATCTCAGCCACACCTAAAAATCAGCATGACCTGCCCAAAAATCAGTTTTAAAAGTGGAAACTCTGAATAATTTTACAAAGAAATAACAGCAACTGTTATACCAATCAGATGATACATTTTCTCTTCAATGTATTTTATACAGGAAAAAACAAACAAACATAGTGGTTATGTTACA